AGCTAGGAATAAGGTGATGAAGCTGAAGTAGTATGCGGGATGAGACAGAGCTAGGGTTGACTCTCCCAGTGAAGGAGTCACTGTTAACACTCCGGATGCGACAAGGTTGTTTCCTGGGCAACTTCCTGGCCTTCTCTGGTCCAGGGGTTTTTTGGTCTGATGCCCAAATCTGGTGCTTTCCATGAGTACCGGGCCCAAAGTCTAAAAGCTGGCCAGTATTTTCAACCCATCTTTAATGGTATTCACTTAATCACGACTAGAAAATTCTTCATGACTCTTTCTCAGACACTAATCCCATGTGAGCTTTTTTCTGACGTAGGGTAAGCCGCCTTCTTCAAATATTGTCATTCTCAGGGAAATTCTTCTCCGCATCGAGCCCGATTAGCTCCTTTTCTATGGCACGCATCCATCCGTTTGATTGTAGTCATTAATCCAGCTGTAGGACCACTTTGATTGGTCAGAAATTGGGTCTTCCACAGGATATGAGGGGGCAGTTCGGGATCGTACACTGCGCTATTCCGAACAGTTCAGATAAAAAGCTCAAAAACTTGGCGCTGCTCGTCCTAGGGAGAGGGGGGATGGAGGGGAGAGCGGTAGTTGTACTGGTTCTTTTTGTTGCGTTTCCAGGCGATGATTCAGATTGTTTTCGAAATCAGTACTATTCATAACCGTCAAAGACCCCTTTGATCGCACTTTTTCAAACTATTTAACGAATTCAGCGGTAGAAAAACGAACGCTGTTGGGCTTGGGAGGGGCATTTTGCGCTTTTGCTAGCTCCTTCTGCTAGTTCATATCAACTAAGAGGTCTGGCAACACCTGTAAGCTCTTGTGAAGTGAACCATGCTGGTCAAGGAAACCCATAGACCTTCACAATGTAGCTGAAAACATATGGTGCCCCCCACCTCCACAAAGCCTAACTTCGCCTAAATTTTATCTGTCGTATTGACACTCCTATTAGGGCACGTCCTGCCGTTGGGGAGATTTTTGCAGGAAAATGCAGGTCCTCTGGTGCGAGCCCGAACCCCCCCCCCACCCTCCCCTTCTCCCCTTCCATTCCTTAGCTTGTCGACCATACTTCCTGAAATTGACCGTTGGCATGTTCCGCACTCCACGGCCACTTTTCTAGAGTTTTCAAAATAAAAAACAGTCGAGCCGTGGGGGGGGACCGTGAAATATCAACAACTGGAAACATTCCCTTGGGAAGCAAATACATTCCGCTCTTCCCCCTCAGATAGCGATCCTCGCGAGAATCGCCAACGCGTACATGCCCCTGTCCCCATGTTAGGTTCAAAGGCCTACGCATGCTTCGTGAGAGAGAATTATCTTGCTGGCACAGTGCCCCCGTCACCTCACTTCGGGGACGCGGGTGAGACTCATTCCCCAGACTCTTTCTTCAATCTGTAGCCAAGAGGGCAAATTTTCACTCACCAACACGGGACAGTGTTTAGAACCTATAAAACACAGCGAAAATCTAACTGGAAGAATAAGTGAACGTCTGAATGAGGAGAATTTGACAGGACCAAATACGATCCTCTCCCTTGAATAAGAATAGCCCTCTCCTTTAGAAAATCTATGCAGCCTCTACGTTCCATCATCTTGTTCCATCTTGCTCTCTAATCTGATGAGAATCGGGTCATTTTCGTACCTGCCCGTACCACCTCAGCTTCATACCTCTTAATAGTGGCTTCAACGTCCTGTGCACCTGCTGCCCCGTACCACCACCATCATTGAGTTCAGCTACGCAAAAATTTGGTGCAGTTGGGCTAGGAGGGGGCATGTAAAGGATTTCTTGTGCAGAACTGGAATTAACCGTTGAGTGAAACCCACTTTTTTCACGAACAAATTGGTCCATGCACCCTGCACTTCGTTCTTTCCTACGCTTTGGCACAGTCTTCATCCCCGTTTTGTAGAGAGCTTCAAATTCGCCCCCCTCTTAGCCGACTTATGCCAGATACTGGCTTGATTTGTGTAAGCCTTGAAGGGAAGCTCTCACAGTCTCTGGAGATGGTTCTAGAATGGTCCATTTTCAGTTTCACCATCAATCTGCACAACTCTGCGGCTGACTTCTCTGGAAACGATGTTCCCCTTCATGTCAGTGTGCGTTTCGACGAAGGAAAGGTCAGTTACATTTCGTACTAGTTGGGAGGGGTTTATCGTGCATCAAAATTTGCACAACTGCAATTGGGATCATTTTTTTGTGCCACTACGGGCAGCAGGAAAACGTGAAATTGCGGAAAATGCAGATGCAAATCAGAGGTGACAGTGGGTGACAGTGAAGCGATCCGTGTCGGATAGTGGCCTTGAAAGATTAGCGCGATTTTCGGGGGCAATTCAAGTGAAACACACACCCGACACGTACCCGTACCCATGCGACATTGACATTGAACGTTTTCAGATTGTCTGTAATTCATTTGCAAAGGGAGAATGGGGAAAGGAAGAGAGAAAGAGCAACCCATACAAGAAAGGAGACGACATCGACATCCGTATCCGAGCTCACGACAGCAAATTCCAGATCTTTGTTGACCAGGTAAGGTATTTCATTCTCAATTTTCAAGCGTAGGGCTGGAACTGGACCCCTAATTGATTGGAATCGAGATTTCCTGCAAAGAAAAGTCGTTGAGTTAGTCAAAAAAGAGAAAAATGGGAATTATTGAGTGGGAGAAGGGGGCGAGGGGTTGGGGAAACAAAGAGGTACGCCAGCTACCTTTTAGCATCTTTCCTTAGACAGCGAAGGTATAGTCCTCTGGCGCAGATTGTCGACGGGGGGG